TTCTCCGCCCCCCCCCCGCCCGTCCGCCCCTGCCGCTCCCAGGTCACGTCAATATCGGGGGGGAAGAACCCTGTCACATGGCAGGCAAGGGACTGCGGCTGCCCCTGTGATGCTGGGATAAGGCTCAAATGCACATTTGGTTTGGCTAGGAGAGAGTAAGGGAGAGAGAGCGGATGTTAGGGTCAGAAGGGACCTCAATAGATCATTGAGTCCAACCCCCTGCATAGGCAAGAAAGAGTGCTGGGTCTAGATGACCCCAGCTAGATGCATATCCAACCTCCTCTTGAAGACCCCCAGGGTAGAGGAGAGCACCACCTCCCTTGGGAGCCCGTTCCAGCCCTTGGCCACTCGAACTGTGAAGAAGTTCTTCCTAATGTCCAGTCTAAATCTGCTCTCTGCTAGCTTGAAGCCCTGATCCAACCTCCTTTGCCTAAACCCCCGAATAGTCAGGCTGGCAGGAAATCTCTGAGGAGAATAGGTTTTCTTCAGAAACAGTTTATTCACCAAAGGTAAGAGATATTGCAGGAGGGGGTCAATACTTGCAGAACTTCCCGCAGAAGCAGGCTGTCTTCCCCCTCCAGCCACCTTCACCACCCACCCTGCTTCTCATAGACTTTCAGAGAGATGAAAAGCCAGGAGGCTGGGGGCAGGGGCCCCAGAGAATACATTTTGTCCAAAGATTCAATATTTTTGGGAGGTGGGAGGCATGGGTTCTTCTACTGTCCTTAGAGTCTCAAGAATGCAGCCATTGGGTGGGAGGTCTTGGATGGGACTAAGTTGAGGGCAGGGGTAGCAGTAGGCTCCAGGTCTGGAGTGAATGCCACTTGCAGAACTGTTTGAGGAGCCTAGAGATGAGAGCAAAGGGGGCTATGAATCAGGAGCAATGGCAGGGCCTGGAAAAGGAAGACTGGAATAGCACCTGCAGAGTTGTACTGAAAGAGAGGCCTATGACAGCCTACGCTTGCAGGTTGGGATGAAGGGGCATAGGCAGAGCCAGTGGCATCTTACCTGTCTTCTGTGCAGAAAATGGTGCAGTCATCTGGATGAGGAATCTGCACCGCTGAGGGCTTGGTGTGTTCATGCCCTCCAGCTTCTGCCTCTCTTGGTTCCACTTCTCAGCCAGTCTCTGGGCAGCTGGGTGTGTGTGGTACCATTGCTTCTGGTCTCCCCGGTAATGTAGAATATCTTCGCCATTAAGGGCAAGCCTGGTGACAATTGTGATGGCCCCTGTGGCTTCATCCAAATCCCAGGTGTGCAAAACCTGCATGTAGTAGAGCTCTGGAGAGAAAATCCATATGGTTAAAGGCTACTGTTGGTGAACATAGCCCACTGAAGGCAAAATGGGAGGAAAATGGGATAGTCATCTCCTGTGCATTGTATCCAGGATTCCTGGCTCCAAGACCTCCTATTTGTAACCCACTAAACTCCACTAGAGCTGGGAGAGAAGGAAGGAGTTTGGGCTCCCCCATCCCTACCTAACCAGAAGTCTCCGTTCCCCTCTCAGTCCAGTGGAGAAACCCCCCAGTAGTCCTGACCCTCAGCTGCCTCTCCTGCTCTAACCCGTTTGTTATTAGGGCAATGACTCCTCTTTCATGCCCACATCACTCTTGCCTCATAACCCATACAGGCGGTGTCCATCTCTTTCCAAAGGTGACCTGAACACAGAAGAGGACACTCACCTGTCCCTGGGGAGCTGGCATTCACTGCCTGCACCAGGACCTTAAACTCGGTCTCGATCCAGGGGTTCCACACCTGGCAGCGCGTGTTCCCTCCCCTCCACCACTCCTGGGTCTCTTGAGTCTCAGGGTTGTAGCCATTCCGGGTTGTCAGCCTTTTGGTGGTGCTGTCATAGTATGTGAACATCAAATAGTTCACCTTCAGCATGTCCTGGGTCTTTGGCAAGCCTGGCACCTCCTGGGACAGGATGAGCTGGGAGCGGGAGTAATGATGAACCCCTTTGGGAAGGAATTCGTGTGAGTGAGAGAGCAGGGCAGGGAATGGAACCCAGGCATCTGGGTTGGCAGAATAGGGAGGAGGATCCAGCCACTTACCAGCCAAGATGACAGAGCAGAGCGCCTGGAGCCAGGAGACCAGCAGGATGGGGTTGGTCTGAGGAGCCATTGTCCTGCAGGGAGGAGAGAAGCAGGGTATGCTTGTCATGCATGCTTAACAGGGATCACTGAAGTGTCCTTGTTCAGGGGTGAGGAGATATCCAGGCCTGACAGCCCCAGAGACATGTGCAGTGTCCTACGGGGGTCTGAAGGCTAGATAAGCACCCCCAGAGTCCTCAGCACCCTCTGTGGTGGTGAGCAGATGCAAAGTACAAAGAAAGAAAGTCAAATCTAGTTTCAGCCCTAGCCTTTCCTGAGACCTAGGAGCCATTGCACATAACTAATCCATGGACACGATGCTTTAATTCCCAGCAAGCCAAACTAAACAACATCCGAGGAGTTTTAATTTTTAATGCTCCAGAAAGACTTTTAAAGCATCCGGAAATCCCGCTTGTGTAAACAGTCATGCCGTTGCAGTGTACAAAAATGCCAAAAAAAGGGGTGTGTACAAATGCCCACCACCCTCATTGCTCTCTGTGTATCTTATGTGTGGTTATAGGATGCCTACCAGGGATGTAGCCCCAAGGGAGCATAGCTGGTTAATCCCAAGAGCCCTTAGGTGAATGGTAGGCTGCTACCCACTCGGTGCAGTCAAAATGGCAGCACTTCCATCCCCAAGTAGTAGCTGAACTTGAAGGCACCTTAAACAGCTTTTCTGTCACAAGCAGGTGCCTTGGGGATCCCAAAGACCGAAGCATGTTACTCAGGCTTTTGTGAACTGCTTTCTTGGACTTTTGCACTTAATATCTTATCTCTTGTACGGCATTGTCACATCCTGGCTGAGACATTCTGGGTCCATGCCACCCATCCACACCTGGTTGCTCTCTCCAGACCTAGACATACACCAGCCAGCTTGCTCTAGGCAGCCTCCTGCCGCTGCTTTTCAGCATGCAGGGCACTCAGAAACTCACAGGCACACTTCTGGGACTGGAGGAGCACACCTCAAGTGTGTCCTAGCTGGAACATAGGAAGGCAGTCTCCTGTTACCACAGGAATAACTCATGCTTGCTGCAGCAACAAGCCAGTTGGAAGGTGCAGACATGCCTGTATCTGATGCTAATGCAGTGGAAAACACTTGAGCTCCCCAGACAACCTGAGCAGTAATTTAAGTCAGCAGGGAGGGTGGGGACTAGATCCTTTACTAACTGTTTGGTGCCAGAGCAGATTGAAAAGCCTCAGCGCCGCTCCTGAAAACACTGCTAAGGCAAAAGGTGAATGTGTGGGGTCCTCACTCCGCCTCACTGTTTCATGTGACTTTTAGGCTTGTGGCTTACATGATGATGTATTACCAAAGGGGAGACACTTTTCAGGGACTCAAGCAGGGTGAGACAGAACCACACATAGGCTCAGTGTTAGTGGGAAGTGAGCTCCAAGTTTTTAGCTACAGCAATGAGAGGAGAGATTTCCAGGGGATGGACCAGTGGATGGGGTCTTGATTAACTTTGCTATTCAACTAGATTTGTGGGTGCAGCCTCTCACTGCATAAGATATTGTGATAGGCCCCCTAGCTGGCCTACCATGCCCACAGACTGCAATAGTGCTCCCCAAATCTTGGAAGCACAGTTCAAATCTCATCTCCATTTTAAAAGCCCAAACAGCAGGGAATCTCCCAGCCTCCCTGGGAAGCCACTTCATGGTTTAATGGCCTTTATAGCTGGAAATCTGGGTCTAGTTAGGAATTTGTGTCATTCTAGCTTTTGCTTCTCGCCAGTGGAGTTCATTTTGTCTGCAGGCTGGAAAACCTCTCCCCTGCTGTCAGGGCTGGGGGCAGTTGTGCAATGTAACTCCAACATGGGGGAAGCTGCCAGACCTGGGAGACTGCTGCTGAGCCTCGAACCATGAATGAAGGAGCTGAGGACAGCTTAATCGAGGGGCCAGGGCAGAAAATACAGATTAAAAAAAAAGATGAGGGAGTATGGACAGGTGGATTTCTGTCCTTAATGAGTGAATTCAGTGGATGAGTGAATTCCTTATTTCTACAGCCTGGATATCCCTTGTGCTTCCACCGCTCTGAGTCTCTAGATTTGCCCCAACTCCCCTGCTACCAATGTACTGGGGGGCAGGGAGCCGCCTCCTCCCTTCCCATACCTCCTACTCCCCAGGCATCATCAGTCATCCCTTTTTCTCTGCCTCTATAACCATTCCCTAACCCAGCTCTCCTTGCCAACCTTCATACTCCCAGCCTGCCTCTATTACTCCAAAAAGCCCCCAAAACCCCATGCATCTCACCTCTTTTGAGCTGTATTTTTCTGCTGCACAAAAGGGGGAATGACCACGCTTCCTCTTCAAACTACTTTCACTTCACTGAGACAGCTTCCTGGATGTCACGTGCCTCTCGTTTCAACCTGGTGCCCCATGCATTGCACTCATGGTTGCAATACTCTAACTCACCTACCATTGGGCAGGGATCACTTCATAGGATTGGCAGAGGCAGTGAAGAAAGGCTCATTCCCTGCCATACATCCCCTCCCCTCCCCAAATCCTAGCCTGTTCACTACAGAGGCTTGCACTGGCACGGCCATTAGGGCGCTCGCTGTAACGGGTAGTACAGACGCACACACAGAGGACTCAGGGCTCAGAGTGTGCCAGGTTCTGTGCAAACCCTGACTGAGGAGGGTGGGGAGTAATTGGTATGCCAGGTGCTATGCAGCTTCACAGTAAGGCTAATAAGGACAGACATTCAGCAAGTCCAAGCCTGAATTGATTCAATCTTTGCAGGCTAGTCTAACAGAGATTCACTTTTTATTCTAGAAATGCAGCCATGTAACTGCAGTGGCTCAGGCTGGAGGCTTGTGGGGGGCACTAGAGTGAGCCCTCCTTTCTCTTCTGTTGCAGCCGCAAGGCTGGAGGGAAGCTGGCGGTGGGCAGCCAGGTCCTGGCCCAAGCAGTGCCTTAGGCAAAGGGGAGCAGGGAGGGGGATTAAACTTCCCTGCCTTCCCTCTCTCCCACCCACACAGGACTCCAGGCAGGGTCTACCTGGCTTTCTGCCCCGCTGGCCGCTCACGCAGCAGGGGCATGGCCAGAGCCCCCTGCTGCTCCCTAATCCTGTCTTGCAGGTGGTCAGTCAAGAATTACTCAGCTGCCAATGATGCACTATAAATGCGTTGCATCACCTGGCGTTTGCTGGCTCCCTAGGATGGAGTGGCTGGGAGTGGCTTGTTGGGACACAAGGGTGACTCTGTGCCCTGGGGTTCTGCTTTGATCCTGCTGGGCTCTTCCTGTCCCATGTTTTTAACCAGTTAAAATACAAAATCCACTGAGGAGACATCTACCTATTTGAGGGCCCCTGTTGTGCAGGGAGCTGCCCAGACCTAAATAGGGCTCCTGTTGCACCCGATCCTTCACATACTAACTGTAAGTGTGGTTTCTCCACCCCCGCCCCTCCACCAAGCAAGAGTGTAAAACAGACATAGGGCAGGGAGAGAAACTGAAGCATGGCATGGCAAATGTCATGCAGACAGCCAGTGGCATACAGGGGAAGAGAACCTAGGTGCCCTGAGTCCCAGTCAAGTTCCTCCACTCACTATGTCTGCCTCCAGTATTTTGTATGCTCACTTCCATTAACTTTCCATCCCAGCTGCTCCTCCTATTGCACAGGCTTCACTTATTTTCAAGTACTGCAGTGAATCATCTGTGAGGCAGTGGACTCTCTCCTGCTGAGCTCTGTAGACACAGAAGTTCAATATAATAATAATAATAATAATAATAATATTAAATAATAATTATCTGGTAAATAATATTATCTGGTAAACTTTCTGTACCCTCTCCAAATTTTCACTGTTGATTTAGGCTGTCCCTAGCACAATGAATGTATTAACCTTGCTATCAAAGTAAAACCTCTGGCATATAATCCTTTTGATCTTGGAGATCCTTTCCAAGTTGGAGGGGACAACACAAATACTTATGGATGTTCATTTGAAACTAGTTAGTTATATTGCATCTGGATCCTAAAACTTTTCTTATTACTAAGAATCATGAACAGTTCAAATTTTGAGACACCTCCATCCACAAAAGAATCAGAGGATGTCAAGTCAGAATAGAGGTACTTTTGGACTCCCCACTTCTTGCTCTGCTTCACCACTGCAACAAGCTTCTTGTCTCCAAACAAAAAGCTCCCTTCACAGAACTTATCATCTAGCTTGCCACCGTTTTGTGGTGGCTCGCTCATGTCATTTGTCTCAAAAAACTTCCCGTCTCCCAGGAAGATGATCACAAAGGTGTGGTTGCACTAGAGGTAATAGTCTGCATTGAGGTAGGTGGGATGCAGCTTTTGGACACTGCCATCCTTGTTCTTGCTCAGGCTCTGCACTGTCCTGTAGGAGTCTCCCTTGATGATATAAATATTGGAGTCCCCCACGGCGCCCAGGTAGAAGTCCCCAGAAGTCCCCCAGAAAAAATAAATAAAGGGAATCTTCTGTTGCAAAGAAAGACCACAGCAGGACAGAATGGTTTTGACACTATGGATTCCTGCTTGCAATCTCTAGCTTTATCTTTTGAATCATGCTTGTATAACCTACCAGTGCTAACATTGCCGTGGAACCCTGGTTGAGAAATACTCTTCTAATACATTTCCTGGAGGAAATTTTCCGTCCTAGTTATTGGTATATGATGCGAGGCTCTTCAGTGGGTCAGTGACCCCAGGATTCAGACTCAGCTAGATCAGCACAGCCCAGTCTAGGACACTGTGGGATCAGGAGGAGACTGAGTCTGACCCAGAAAGTGTCTTGGGCCGCCCTTCTGTTCTTAATGTTGGTGTGAAGTTCTACGCTGTAACATGTCCAGTACATGCTCTGGAGAGTTCACCTCTGCCTGCTACCCCTAAGGTTACCATCTACACTGAATCTACCAGCTGGAGATCTCACTCACTGGACCCAGGGGAGCTACAGCTCATATATCCCAGTGAGAATAAATTGAATTAAATGACAGCTAATTTACAGCAGTGGGAACCTGGTCGAATGACCCCAATGCAGGGACCTGTGTGCACAGCCTTACCCCAGATGGCTCTGTGGCACCAGAGGAATCCAGATGATCCCTCCTGAGCTCTGAAATCAGAAGAAAGTTAAGTCTAAGGCTTTTTTTTTGGTTACTTAGGGTCCTCACTTTCTTAACATCATAAAGCGAGTGCCAGAACTCTTGGTGATCTATGTCCATCTCTGGGAAGGAACAGGCACCTGGTGGGTTTAAGGAGGGATTCCTTGGGTCCAGGGCTCCTAGGTTTTAGTGCATCAGGCATGAGCCTGTGCATCCACCAAAACATTCAGGGTTGCCAATACCCTCATTCATGCTATTTGTGTCTAAATCCTGCACTCAGCACTCCTTGAGGCCCTGGTGGGCTGGGTGGGTCTGCATGCCAGGCTGGACCTTCGTCTGGTCTAGGACCTCAGGAGGATCAGCCCAAACTATATAAATCCAATGTGGTTTAGATCCAGGGCAAGGAAATTTTGAAACTACAGCCACTTCCAAGAAAGGTGGTACAGGATTTCATTGCCACCAAGTGGTGACTGGTTGAAGCAGCAGTTTCTCCACAAAAGTCCAGTCTACCAGTCAGCCCATGGGATTCAAGAGTTAAGATGGTTCTGATGCCCCTCTTGAAGGGTGTATAGATCAGAATATGTGGTCTAAATTCATATTCACAGAATACTTGAAGATGGTCTAAATTCTTCTCTCTCCAGAATTTAGACCATCTATTTGGAGGTGGGGGAATGGGACACAGGCCCTTTTTCTTCTGGGAGGTTCCAGCTCTGATCTGGGCCTGGGGCAGGGGTGGGGAATGGGATGAGATTTTCTTTTGGAGGTGCAGGCTTTATGCAGGGCACAAGAACTGGGTGGCTCAGGGGTGCTGAATTAGTGGGTGTTGGGGAACCATACCAGTGCCAATTTTGCCCCAGCCCAGGGGACAGTGCTCATGGGTGGGAAATGAGACGCAAGGGGCCAGTAACCCTTTACACAATGAAGAGGAAGGGGGTTCAAAACCCTGAAAGATGTACGAGAGCTCTCTCAAGGCAGTAAGGGAAAAATCAGGCAGGACTGAAGCTATACCAAGAAATAAATTCCATGCACTAAATAGCAAAATAAAGTGCAACTTTATTTAAAATAAAATTTTAAAAAGTGGTTTCTCTCCCTGTCCCTCTCCCTTTTTGCATAGTTTTACAAATGAGCAGCAGAAGGGGTGGGGTAGAAGATACAGTACAATGGACCTGGGGTGGAAGGGACGTCCACAATGGAACAGATCAGTGGTGGGGGAGAGGGTACAGTGGAACACCCCTTTAAGGGGTGCCAGAAGCTGACTGAAGTGACCAAATACTTCTCACCAGTTCCTTAATGGCACAGTTTCATTGCAGGGCAATGGAAGTCCTGATAATAAAGTCCATTTAGCCTTCCCTGAGTGGCAGTCCTGAGTTTCATAGTGCTTCTTTCTGTATCCTTCCCCGCAGAGTGCTGGAGGGAAGGGTTTATTTGTAGAACCCAAGGGCAGTGTTGTGGTAGAGGCACATGTAAGCATCACAGAGCAGGCGTCGGGCACAAGGGGGAAGGGACTTGGGGTCCAGAGCTTGGAGCTCCTTGGGGGACATCTCCAGGTAGTCGGCCACCTCTGGACAAGGGGTGACCCGTGGGATGTTGAAGCCATTCTGGCCACCTGGAAGAAAAAGGAAGGGAAGGGATTAAAAAGAGAGAGAGGGGGAGAGAGATGCATAGAGGGAAAAAAAGAAAATAGATGGAAAAGGCAGTGGAATCACCCCTATGGCAGCTCCCAGGATGTCCACAGCACGGAGCTGTCCCATATACCCCCGTGTGCACATCTCACCCTGGCGGTCTGCCATGCTGTCAAAGAAGAGCCAGTGCTCACGGCGGGGCCCATGGCGAGCAAATGCCACATAATGGCTGGTCTGGATGCAGAGGACAGCATAGAGCTGCATAGTCTGGCGGGGCAGAGGGACTGGCAGAGGAGGCAGGTGGGAGAGCTCTGGGGGCAGGCGCAGCAGCCGGGGGTGGTGGGAGCTCCGGGTCCGGTGACGGTGCACCTGTGAGGGTGCAGAGAGGGTGTGACCTGTGTGTCATGCCTCCATTCCCCACTGTGCCCCCAGCACCACCCCTTCCCCCATCATCCTGTGGGCACTTCTTGTGTTGCCCCCTGGTAGCTGGGTTACCTGCTGGCAGCAGATACTGCAGTACTGCCGGGTGCTGCCTGCTGTGATGTGGGGGTCCCCATAGCACTGGGGGCATTCACTCACTGCCAGTTCCTGGCAGATACAGCACTCCCGGGGAGCTACAAAGAAGTGGGGAAAGGGTCCATCACCTCCAGTGTGTGGACCCTGGAGTAGATACCTCCTGCCCGTACCCCCATAGATGCCCACTCCCTGCCCCAACCCCCCCTAGAGACACCCTCTCTGCTCCCCCTCCTCATAACAGATTTCTGTTCTTGCCCCCTGCAGGCTTTCCCTCAACCTGCTCCCACCCTCCATATTCCTTTACCATCCTCCAGCAGGTCTGTGAGATCCAGCTGCAGGCTAGGCAGGATGGTGGCAAAAGCCTTGAAGTCCTTCCCATTTCGGGGCATTTGCAGGATCAGACAGGAGGGGGCCTGTTGGAAGGGGAGGTCAGTGCTGAGGGTGGAGCAGCGCCAGGCCTGAGCCCCCATCTCCCAGTCCAGCTCTCACCTCCGTGAACTTGAGGTCGCCTGTGGCCAGGGAGCCCTCCAGCAGCTGCTGCACTGTGGGAACCCCCTGAGTCACCCCAGGCAGGGCACCCTCCATGAAGATTTGGTAGAAGATGCAGCCCTGGGGGTCCTTGTCTGCTGACCTGGGCATAGAAAGCAGGCTTAGTAGGGGTGTGATGAGGGGGATGTAGCTTGGGAAAGGAGTGGGTTTTAGTGGGGTAGGGAGCACTGGGCAAGGGAAGGAGAGAACTGGGAGTGAGTAAGTAATGGGGTTGGAGCGCAGTAAAGGGGAGTTGGGAAGTGGATGGATGAGCAGACAGCAGAGGCTTGTGGGGGAGTGGGGAGGCTTACCGGATATTAAAGAGTGGCTCGCCCTTCAGCACCCGGAATAGCAGGGTGAGAAACTCCTCGGGGTCTGAGGGGGGACACAGATGAGAGCAGGGAAACCCCCTTGCTCCCCACCTCCCCTCTGCCATCCTGCACTCACCCTTCCCTCATACCCCTCACCGCTGTTCCCTTGAACTCCCACCCCCTTCCCCCACTCTTCCCCCTTATCCTTTCCACCACCTCGGGCTTCTCCCCTCTCCATCCCTCCCCCACCAGACTCCTTTGGTCTCCAACCCCCATTACCCTACCCCACCTTTCTCCTCGCAGGTGAAGCCCGGAGAGGATCCAGCAGCCTCCAGCACCCGGCGCAGGGACATCACCTTGGTGGCACAGACGTAGCCGTGCCTGGGGTGGGGGACAAGGCAGTCACCCGCAGGACAACTTGTACACTAACCCCCTCTGCTCTCCACAGGCCCCTCAGTACTTCCTGCAGAGAACTGTTTGTCCCCCGTTGGCTTTGAACACACCAACTACTCCCCGCAGACCCCTGCTCCCCATCTCAGGCCCCTCCTGGAGCCCCCCCCACTTCTCTCCACCTCCAAAACCTCCATCACTACCAACCTCCTACCTCCCCACCACAATCCACAGATCTATCCCCCAAATCCCTCTGACACCATTCTTCTGCCTCCCCAAAGACCATTCTTCTTCTCCCACTCCACACAGACCCCCGCCCCAGCTCTATCATAACCCTTCCTGTCTCTTGCTACCTTTCCTACCCCTTATGACACCCCCCTGACCTCCCTACTCTGCTTCTCCCCAGAGCCCTCACTGGCCCCCATTTCCCTGGTGCCTCCCACTTGCAAGCACAGTCTTTCCCCTCACAGGGACTCACTTGCGCAGGGGGTTGACGATCTCGGTTCTCAGCAGGTCCCGGGTCTCCACATAGGATTCTCCATCGTTCTTGTCTGCAGGGCGCAGAAGCAGGGAGTCCAGCACCGAGCTGAAGGTGAACATGCTGGGGGAGAAGGGACAGGACACTTGGGTTCAATCCCAGATCTGGGACAGGAGGAGAGTCTAATGGGTAAGCTGAGTTGGGCAGGGAGTCAACACACCTGGGTTCTCTCCTCAGCCCCAGGATGGGAGAGGGGTCTAATGGGTTAGAGCAGGGGGGCAGAGTTATACCCCAGCCCAGGAGAGGAGTGAGATCTATTGGCTAGAACAGGGCAGAGGCTGTGGCTATAAAAGCGGACAGCCTGGGTTCTCAGGGGGTCACTCACCAGAAGAGGGTGGCATCCAGGTAGCAGGAGTTGCAGTGACCCTGAATCCCCTTCTTCCAGCCGGTAAGCTGCTGGCCCCCTTCCTCCCCCAGTGCTGGAGGGGTATTCTCCAGCACCCGCTCGCTGGCATAGATGCGGAAATCTGGGGGGAGGGCCAGAAAGGGAGATCTGAGGGGGATCCGTCCCCACATTTAGATCTTTTCCGATCTCTGTTTCCTTGCCTGTGATTCCCTGCCCCACCCTGCAGAGGTGCCCCCTCCTCCCATCCTCCAGCCTGCTGTGCCCCCTTCTTTTGCCAATAGTCAGCTTACTATAGTCCCCCTCCCATCTCCTTCCACCCCTCACTCTACCTTTATCCCCCTTCCTCCGCCCTCCTTCCCTTCCACCCTTTTACTCCATTCCTGTCTTCCCCACCCCATGTCCCACTACCTTGGGATGTGCCCCATCCCCCTTCTGTCCCATCCATTCAAACCTAGTGAGTTGCAGCGCAGCACAGGGTTCTCCAGTGGCTGGGGTACCCCGAAGCGGGAGTCTGGCCGGCAGTGGCGCAGCTTCACAAAAAAGCCCTTGTCTGGTGGGCACTGGAAATAACGTGTCCCTCGGTAACTCCCATCTGTGCAGCTTGAGGCCAGTGGCTCCTCCTGAGGAACCACAATCCAGTCCGCTTAGAGATCTGGGAGTTATGTGCCCCCCTACCTTCAGGAAAGTGACCCCCCCCCTTATAGGAATAGGTGGTGCCACTCAACACGGATATGGGGTTTCAGTGTGCCCTTATGGGGAAGTGACCCTAATGGGTACAGGGGGGTCTATGTCTCAGTGGGGAGATGACCCCTCTAGTGGCTCTCACCCATTGTCCCACCAGCATCCCATCCCTGTTGTCTCACCAGCTCTAAGCCAGCAATGGTCTCTCCCACTTCTGGTAGGTTTCCAATCCACCGGATGACCCCATATATTGGGGGATCATGCACCTCCACCATGGAGTAAATTTCCAGTGGAATCACAAGTGTCTTCTCTTCATCATCCTCCTCTGGCTCCTTCTCCTTCTCCCCCTTGTCCTTGTCCACAAATATGGAGGTGAGTGAGGCTGGGGGCCCCTTCGGAGAGTGCGGTTCTATCCTGGGTGGATACCGGATGGACGGGGAACATGGTGGGTCTTCAGAAAACCCTAGAGAGGGGTTCTCTATTGAGGCCTTGGGGTTATGCTCAATCTTTTCTGTAAGACAAGGAAACAAAACATGCCAGACCTGACTTAGAAGGTGGCTTGGAGGGAAGGGCTACCACCGAAGTGCAGATGGGTGACAGTGGATGATGGTCCTCTTGCCCAATGGGAAAAGGCTACCACTGAAGTGCCCATGTTGGTTTCACTGGATATCAGTGGATATCACTGTGGCAGTCCTATCACTAGGTGAGGGAACCTACCATTGAAGCAGCCATGGTAAAAAAAATATATATCACTGGAGGGGCCACATTAGCTGGCGATGATGTCATTGAGACTGCCATATAATTAGGTGGAAGACCTGCCACAGAGAGGGCCCCTTTGCCCAGATGGTAGAAGCTGTGTCAGGAGGCATTTATCTTCCATGACTGGGAATCAAGCTAGTGGCATGGCCATCTTGACTAATGGGAGATACAATTTTAAGACAGGAGATACATTTCTAGGGCAGCGAATTGGGATTCCTGATGGGTGATTTGGAAAAGAACTATGGTTGGGGCAGCCAGCTTGGTCACTGAAAAAAACCTCTGCTCAAGTGGATGTCTCGGTCACTGCTTTGCCCACCCACTCATGTGGTGGCCATCTCGATTATGTGGCTATCCAGCTTGAGTAGGATTAGGGCTGCAGGCATACCCATCGTTTTTGTCTCAAAGGCCCACATCAGCCTGGCACAGAGAAAGGCAGCTGTATAGCATGCTGGGAGTGAGGCCACCAGAGTGGCCATCTTTAACACTTTTCTGAGTGAATATTTCAGGCCCTGGAATGGGTATTATAAGCCCTGTGGCTCAAAGTGAAGCTCAGCCAGGCTCTCAGCCATGATGCTTGCTGCAGTTCCTACCTTTATATACTTTGGAGATCGGCAAGAGAATTCCATGCTCTGGGGAAGGAAAATGGCAGAGGGCATGACCCTTGAAGACACCATCCCACGAACCAATAGGCTGGTCCTGCAGGGTGAAAAATAAGGAGGATGAAGGAAGCCCTGCCCAAGGGAATCTCGCAGTGGGATCCACCCTCCCTACACAAAGGAATTTGAGGTTTCATTACCAGGTGGATGCCCACAAAGATGCCAGCATGCTCCTTCTCCGGCAGGTAATCGCAGAACATCACGGTGCCTGTAGGACGGCTGTCATCCATGTTGAAGAAGACATGGTCACCGAGCTCCAAAGGAGGGGACCTCAGGGGGTCATCCTCCACCTGCTGCAACCTGTTGCGAGCCTTGCTGCTGCCCCAGCGGGGCCTTGGGGGGCTGCCTTCATCTGGTTCAATCCGACTCACAGGGACAAAGACCCCGCAATTCTCCCGACATGAGAAAAACTTCTGGTCTTTGAAGGACCCGTCTGTGAAGCCCTTCCCAGCTGCTGACCCCTGCGGGGGATGAAGTATATGCGTGTGGATGTGATGCGTGGATGCATCAGCCAACTAGTCTTCCTGCCTGCTGTCCCCAAGAGGGGAAAAGCCCTGTGACCCATCACTCACCCCCGCTGAGCAAGCAGTCCCCTGCCCTCAGGCTGAATCAGATCCAGTACCCCCAAGAGAGGATAGGCCCCACGCAGCACTCGCCAACCCAAACTCTTCTGTTCCCCTGCACCAGAGTGAGATTGGTGCCAGTGCTCCTCAGAGTCCCCATTGCCTCACTCACCACCAATTCCACCCCAAAGATGATCCCAGCTTCATCTCTGTTCTTGCTCATGGGTCCCCGGTAGCGTACAACACCTCTCACTTTCTCCCCAGAGGCCGAGGTGATCTGGACCCGGACCTGGTCCCCCCGGCGCAGGGCTGAGAGCCGTCGGAGCAGCTCCTCCTGCTTGAAAAGCCCCAGCCGCTCCTCCCCATTGGTGACCGCCTGTAGCAGCCGGGCATAGGTCTCGCTCAGCTCCAGCACCGCTTTGGAGGGCACCTTCACCATCTCCTCTGTATCCAGCACTTGGGCCCTGAAGGTAGGGTCCCGGGAGGGGGCCTCCTCTAGGGGTGCAGCCTGGCTCAGGAGGGTGCCCCGGGGGACCCACACCTCCACGCCCCCGGCGAAGTCCTTGATGGAAATGTAGAACCGGCGCGGCCTCATGGCGAAGGGTGGGCTGGACCTGGGGTGAGAACAGAGATCAGAGGAGGCAACCCTGCTCTGGGGCTGATGGGGAGGGGCAATGAAGAAAGTGGGGAAAGCCTAAAGGAGAACCAGCTGAGAAACCAGATGTGGAGGGGGAACGCCCAGGGGGTGGGAGGCAGAGCTGAACGGGCAATGGGGGTAGGCGGCTCGGCTCGGCTCATCCAGGGAGAAGGAAATCCCTGATGGGTGGACGAGAGATGGAGACAGTACAGGACGGAGGGGGGCATTTGGTATACCTCTGGGTGGCAGGGGCTCAACACCCCCATGCCAAAGGGGTGTAGGAGCTGGCCCAGGAGGCTGAGAGCTGGTGGGACCCAAAGGGGCATCTCCACCCGGCTTCCCCAATGCTGGCTGGTGGGGTCACCCTGGCGTGGGCGTGGGGGGAGCGCATCCTCGAGAGAGAGGAGAGGAGAGGAGAGGAGGGGGAAGGAGACAGCCCCTCACAGACAGATGCAGATGCAGACCCTGGCTCCACCGCCGCCGCCTTCACTTCTCCAGCTT